TCCTTTTTGTGTCCTTTATAACTAAGCTTTCATTGGCTATTTCTTTCTGGCTTTCTCCCTTGTCAGAGAAACTCCTTGACTGCATAGTAATTACATGCTCAGTCGTGAATGCTGAGTTCTCATAGAAACAGATGTTTTGGGATTGTTGTGTAACAGCAAGCTGGAGGTTTCTATGAGCTGCGTTTTTTACAAGGTGTAGCTGAGAGACAGCAGCTCAATGTTTTAAACATGAGTGTGAATAAAGGGGCGGGTGTTGGACGCCTGGCTGATAGAGAGCGCGTTGAGTTAGAATGGCTTTACAGAGTCAGAGAAATAGTCCTGCTGAAATATTCATACATCCTTGAGCACACACACGGGCAAAGAGCAGGTGAGGCACAAAGAGGAAGACTTCATTCTAAGAAGACATTCGTTTTTTTGACAGAGTTGATAATTATCATTTTCTTACTGTTATCCTCTATGGTATGAAAATTAGTTAGAAGCTATATATACCTCCCCTTTTTATCAGGCAGTCGTTGGCTTCAGTTGTCTTTGCAATATAATATTCTTGGTAGAGATATTAGAAATGTGGTCTGTGTAACTAGTAAATCAAATATGAGGCCTAGGGGCCAGAACCAATGCTTGAAATGGGCAAATTCTGTCCACTGAATGACTTTGCAAAGTGTGAAAATTGCAGTGAATTCATTAATTATTCAGATTTTTCATAAAATGAACTGGCATTCATTCTGTGGTGATGTCAGAGCTAATGAAAGTTAAAAGTGCTGGATCTGGATTTGTTGTTTGAATCATAAAAATGTTAAATACTTTATGCCGAGTGTGTGAAGTGTAATGACAGTAGACTCAATCAAGTAGACAACAGATATAAATTGTTGATTTTCCGAATGTAAGCAATAACATCTCAATAAAGCAACTGGTGTTGTTGATGTTTTTAAACTGACTTAAATTATTATGCAGTGGTTTTCCTGGTCTAATTCACTTGTCTCATCTGACCACAGAGCATTTTTGCCCAGCCTCTTTCTTATTGTTGAATCATGAACTCTGACCTTAACTGAGACATGTGAAGCCTCTGGTTTTTTAATGTTGTTCTGGGTTCTTTTGTGACCTCCCGGATGAGTCATCGATGTGCTCTTAGAGTTATTTCTGGAGGCCGGACACCCCTGGGAAACTTCACCACTGTTCCAAGTTTTCTCCATGTGTGTTCACTGGAGTCTCAAAGCCTTTGAAATGGCTTTGTAACCCTTTTCATACTGATACATGTCAGTGACTTTGTTTCTCAAGTGTTTCTCTAGATCATGGTGTGATGTGTTGCTTTTTGAGATCTTTTAGCCTGCTTCACTTTGTCAGACAGCTTCTCTTTGAGTGATTTCTTGATTCAGCAGGTCTGCCAGTATTCAGGCCTGAGTGTGTTTAGTGAAAGTGAACCCATGTTTCCAAAAGAAATGTGGTTAATCACAGTTAATTCACGATTTAACAAGAGGCACAAATTAGTTTTTCACACAGTACCAGGTGGGTTTGGATAACTTTTCTCTCTTAATCAATGCAATCATCATTTAAAAACAGCATTTTTTCAAGTTGTCTTTGTATAATATTAACATTTTTTGATTATCTAAAACATGTAAGTGTGATAAATATGCAAAACACCAGGGATTCAGGAAGAGAGCAAACACCTTTTCACACCAGTGTTTTGTTCAGTTTCAAAGCCTGTGGTAACGTCTGTAAAAAAAACCTAAAGCCTAGTGTTTTAGGCAATCATCCAATTACAATGTAATTGGTACAAAAGTAAAGGGATACCCATTCCTTTTGTAAGATTGCACACAGATGGTGCTGAGGTCATAGATTAATGAAGAAAAAACTCAGAAAATTGTAGTTGTCGCCCAGTACTCTTTGATACAGTTTTTTTATTGAATTGATTCTTTATATTTTTCAGTACAGGTACATTAAGGTGGCATTTTGAAATAACACACACACTATCAGTATTAACAGTGTT